TCGAAAGTGGCGACAGTTTCACAGATCGCAGCCCCAAAGGGATGACGTAAAAGGCAAGAGAGAAGAGGAGGAGCGAAGAGAGGAGGAGAAGGGAAGCAAGAGAGGAGGAGCGAAGAGAGGAGAAGGGATGCAAGAGAGAAGAGGAGGAGCGAAGAGAGGCGGAGAAGGGAAGCAAGAGAGGAGAGGAAGAGGGAAGAGAGGAGGAGGAGGCGGGAAGGAAGGAAGGTGGAGACCGCAGTGCTCTATTCAAAACGAGTACCCAACGCAGGAGGGTTGGGAAAAAAAACATCGGAGATCCGCCACCGTGCCGCTGGGCGCGGAATGGGCGTGTCCTCGGGTCCCTTGCCCAATCCCCTGAGCCTCAGTCCTCTACGGGACCCCAAATTCTCAAATCTCCACGGTCTTGGCGCTGTTCCGCTGGGGCTTCCCGCTGCCCGTCGCGGCTTGTCGCGTGACTCTTCAGGGGACGAGCGGGCCCGAACCCAGAACCCAGGCACCATGGCGAGATGGGCCGAAAGCCACCAGATATGGAGAGGTCTCCGGAAGCTCCTTGGATGCTTCGCGGAGGCATCTGGATGCTTTGGAAGCTTTCCCAAGGCTCCCCCCTCGGATGCCCTCGGAGAGAGCTTTCGGACGTCTCGGGAGGTCTGCGAAGGCATATTTGGATGCATCTCGGCAATGTTCGGGGGCCTTCGGAGACTTCTCGGAAGTCTTCGGATGCCTCTCGGATGCTCCTCGGAGGCCTCGGGGACGTCTCTGGTGCCTTCTCGGAGGCGCTTCGGAGATCTCGGGGGGCTCCTCGGAGCCCCTGGGAGGCTCTTCGGCGTGCTCTCTTCACCACGTCTGGGCGCGACTCGCAGAGCGATGGGGAGTGCCGGGGAGGTGACCTCGGAGGCTTTGAGCGGATACAAACAAACAACGGCGCCGACATTTGGGCGACGCGTGAAATTAGCGGCGGCCGTTCTGAACCCGTTGCTGGCCCTAGGACCCCTTGGATCGATCTGGCTCGAAGCACTACACTTGCGTGCCAAGACGGGGTTGGTCGCGTCGGACGTCGGTTTCCCTGGACCTCCAGCGGACAGGCAAAACAAGCACGCCTGGTGACTACTTCTTGAGCGATTTAGGTGTTCGCCGCCGTTGTCGGGCTTCAGGACTGTCCGAAGCAGAACCCGCTGTAAAAACTGGCCCCAAGGATGTGTCAAGAGCTCTGGGGTCCACCGCCGCGCCCAAAACCATTCACAGTGGAGATATGTACGCATGGGTCCTCGTCCTCCTGGGGAGGGGGGTGAGGACGCACTAGGATCATCCTCGGGACGTTGAACGTCCCTGGGACCCTTTTGAAACGGCCTGGAGGTCTGGACGGCCAAGTAGAGGCTCTTCTTCCAAGGTGCGGCCCCTATTCGGGCCAGAGGAAGTCCCCCAGCGGAGCCGCTGGTAGGCGCCTCTGCAGCGTGTCAAAGACCCAATTTCCAGATTCAGATTGGCTCGATGTCGGAATCGGCCACGGAGAGCTCGCCCAGCAAGACGTCGAACGGTTGGCTCGTGTGACGTCTTGTTCCCCTCCTGCTCCGACCCTCCCCCCCTCCTCCTGCTCCCGCTCCTGCCGATCCTGCTGGTGCTGCTGCTCCTTCTTCTCGCCGTCCACCCGTTCGCCGTTCTCGTCCGCGTCCTCCCTCCGCCCCTCTCCTTCTCCTCGCCTTCGTCGCCGTCCTCCCCCCATCGTCCTCGCCATCATCCCAAGTCCTCGCCCTCGTCCTCGGAGGCGGCGCTTCATGAATGTCTGAATACCAGCGTCTCGCGCTCGTGATCTCACTCTGTTGCGGGTGCTCGCGGAAAACGGGGGCGGTTATGGAGGTCTCTCAAGATGTGGGAAGATTTCGCGGAATCCCGAGGTTTGTTGGTGGGCTTCCGGATAAAGTGAAAGAGGCAGGAGATGGAAGAGAGAGAGAGAGAGAGAGCGGGAGGGAGAGAGAGGAGGGCGGGTAAGGAGGGAGGAGGAAGGCTCCCGGTGGCTTGATGGCCGCGGGGGTTCTGGTAGGCCTTGGGAAGTTCTGGGGGTCCCTCCCCGAGCTGGGAGGCAGGGGGGAGGAGGAGACGAGCGTCAGAGGTGGAGGGCGGGGAGAGGGGCCCGGAGCCTGACGGGGGGGGATGGAGGAGTTGCTCGTGCTCGCTCCAGCTGGAGGGCGGCCCGCTCCTGCATGGTTCCGGAAGCTGGAGGCTTGCCACCAGCGTCAACGCAGGGGGGTAATGCTCTAACGGGGAAAGGTGATCCTAGATTCTGGTGCGGGGGGTGTGAGAACGGCCGCCTACGAAGGCCGAACTTCACCACCATCACCAGGATCGGGATCATCTTCCCTGGGTGGACGCAAACGCTGATGTTGGGTGTGCTGCCAACCTCTAGGCCACCGATGGTTGAGTGAGAAGCATGATCCTCTTTTCATGCGATTGCTTGTGCCTCTGCGCGCCTAGACTGATGGTGGTGCTCATGCGCGAGGCACAC